TTTAGAATTTTTTCCTTGTTGTTGGAATACACATTGGCGTCTAGAAATCCACAGTTTTATCGTATTAGTAATCCACGGTCGATCTGTCGGATGCTTTTTAATCATTTTCTGTGGGAGAAAGGTATTAACTGCTTGGTCAAGCTCTGACATAAAGAGGTCAAATTTATCTTTGCTCGTACTCGCACTTAATACCGATGACCAGTTTTTTTTGGTTATCCATCGTCCAAAGGCACACCACGCAGAGTTCCGCATGTCCCGGATTCTAATTTTGGTAATAGTCTGTTTAGATGATATTGCTATATTTGGTTTTGCTAAGATCGTATAGTGGTCAAACGAACCAACCTTTGGCAATCTAGATACTTCAAACATCTTAGGTCTATTTGTTAACAGCCAATCCAATACGGCAGAATCTCTGGTTTTAAAAGATATAAGTTGTTTAAGATGGTTCACCTGTGTGATATATTTCATTTTAAAACCTGTAGACGTGGGATTAAAGTCACCTGTAAGTAAAACAAGAGCGTTAGGTTCCTTAAAGAGTAATGAGTCAAGGTTATTCTGCACATGGTCTCTAAGGACAACATTCTCAGGTTCTTTATTGGATGTTGAATGATATATTACTCCTAGAATAATGGATGTAATTTCTCTTGGGAGTTTATGTGGTCTTAATGAAATCCAAATTGATTCTACATCAGATTGGTCACATGAATCCAAACGGTTACAAGGTATTTTATGATCCAAATATACACAGACCCCACCACCAGAAGATCCTATGCGATCCCTACGAAATAAGTTGAATGCAGGGATAGATACACAATGATCAGGAATGTCAGGTGATAGCCACGATTCAGTAATGCAAATAACACTTGCAGAGTTTAGCTCTGCAATTTGCTGGAGCTCGTCAATTTTCTTTGGTAATGATCTAACATTAGTGGACAATATAGTCGGGATATCATAGGATTTTGGGGGATTCTTATTAGTAACAAGGGGAATTGAGATCAGGTTGTTAATATTTCGGGTCTTCCGGGTATAATCCTTAATCAATATTTGATTGTTCTCGTGGGCATATCCATTAGGGTTTGCAAGGTCGGTAAGGGTTGTATGAAAGGCTGTGCGTACAAATGGTTCATAAGTGGGTGAGATATCGCAGGTGGAAGCAAAGGGCCGGGATATGGACTTGGTTCCCGAATAGGGGATGGAAAACCTCTCGAGTCAGACTGCAGAGGTCGTTGGGAATTAATATAGTGGGAAAAATCGCCGGGGTATGGACTTGGAACTCGAAAAGAGGATGTAAAACCTCTCGGGCCAACCTGCAGAGGTCGGTGGGAATCAGCAGAGTGGGAAAAATCACATTTATTTCGGAGTTGGAGTATTTGGATATGATGGTTTATTAAATCTGGTAGTAGGATTTGGGTTATTTTGACTAGAGATCTCGCTTACACTAACGTTAGTGGAATTTAGATCATTGACATCATTAACTTCAATATCGACTTTTTTGGCTTCAGTGGTTAGTATGAGGGGAATAGGATCATTTGCTTGGTTGCCTCCCTTTGTATTATGAACATTCTTAATGATCGAGTGGGCAGCCACTGTGGTAACTTTGTTATTAAACACCGGGTTTCCTCCTGAGAGAATGCTATTCTGTTTAGACGTATGTGTAGAGTTTTGCGGCCTTTTGTCTATGTTTGTTTTAGTTTTGCGAGATTTCGTAGTTTTTATAAGTCCCGCTCCTTCGTTATCAAGCACAATAATCGGTTCGTCGCTCAGTCCACTTTGAGAATGGGTTATATCGCTGTCTATTTGAGTCATTACGGATTTAGTTTTATTCAAGCAATTGTTGTGTGGGTCGACATTTACATCCTTTTGTTTAGAGCAATACTCATAGTGCTGATGAGAATCTTGATATAAAATTTTTAGAGTAGTTGTAAGGCTATCTTTTTGGTTCTCAAGATCCTTTACTTTATAATTCAAATCAGATAATGCGTATTTAGTTATATGAAGACTATCTTTCAAAGCATTGTTTTCTTCCTTAATTGTTATTTAGGCAGTAGTTCTTTAAAATATTCAAATCGTTAACCACTGTTAAAATTTTATCCATAAATTTAGACTCAAAATACTTGATTTCGGTTTCAATTTTATCAATTCTATTAGTCGTATTTGTAGGCAAGGGTGAAGTTTGATCAATTGCTTCGCTCATACCTGCAACTTGTTCTCCCAGACTAGTACAGCCAATGTGGATGTCTTTATCAGCGTTGGCTTGCTCACCTAGACTAGAACAGCCATTGTGCTTGCCTTCATCAGCGTCGATTAGTTCACAATTTTCAGGGGTTTCATCCTGACACAAGATATTGGACGAGTTTATACGGAGCTCAACTTAGCACGTCTGCTCACGTCAACGCGGAGCTCAACTATATATATATATATATATATATATATATATATATATATATATATATATATATATATATATATATATATATATATATATATATGTTTATATATATATGTTTATATATATATATATATATATATATATATATATATATATATATATATATATATATATATATATATATATATATATATATATATATATATATGTGCATATTATCGGAGAATATTCGCCGAGACGAAGTCGAGGTGAATATTCCCCGATAATCACCGAGCCTGAGGCGAATAATTGTTTTACAATTTTTGTGTTTTTTTGGGACTGAATTTATTTTAATTTCGCTTATTTCTTTATCAGTATAACGTCCACAAAACGGCTAGCCGCCATTTTGAAAATTTCGTTTTTGTTATATTCACCTGTAGGTGAATATAACAGTTTAATACGTCAAATTTGACCAATCAACTTGTAGGATTTGTTATGTTCACTTGTGCAATATATATATATATATATATATATATATATATATATATATATATATATATATATATATATATATATATATATATATATATATATATATATACAGGGTGTATCAAAATAAACGCAATTCATCTTTTGTGCTTAATAACTTTCGAAATACTATTTCTAGTTAAACGCGTTTAGGCTTACTTCAAAGCCTGTTCTTTTCTCTTTCAAAGAAACTATTATCCTTGTCTCCAATGCTAGTAATAATTGCACAGGAAAATATTTAGTAAAACATATCATTTTTAGTTGCTGTTTAATTATGCAGGTTTATCTATATGTTATTGTTTAGTCGGTTTAAATGTTAGAATTTTCTTCTTTAAACTTTAATTGTCGTCACTGCATCTGGAAAACCAAGTAAGAACAAATTAAAAGTATTTTAAAAGAGACCAGGTTGTTTGAAAATCCTAAACGAATGCTAAAAATCGTCAAAACATTGTGGTGTCTGAGCCAGAGTGTCAACGAATTGCGATGTAATGTAAACAGAAATTATAGCAAGTTGATGTCAGTCAGCTTAGATGGTCCAAGCCAAAATTATATCGCATTTGAAGTTTCAAACTGAGTTAAAAATAGTGGAAGAAAAGCCGTAATTATACTTATTGTTACAATCCATTTAATAAAATGCAACATTTTGTTGTTTTAATGAAAAAATCAGTTATTTTCATGAGAACGATTTGTTATTCCATCTCAATTTTTTTAATGTCCAATCGCAATAACGTAAATTATTATTACCCGCGAACCAATGAGTCAAATTTAGGAAACAACCCACTATTAGAAAGCTGAATGGCTACGCTTTAAAATAAATGTAAACTTTAACGTTTTCGTCTATTATTTGTTTAGCAATTTACATTTCAGTCGAGGATTGCGCTTTTTTTGATACACCCTGTATATTAAAAACAGTATAGGACCCAGAACTGAGCCTTTTGGAACACTACATAATGTGAGCTCTCTACTTGAAATTTTTGGATTGTTTGTGATATTCCATTGAAATAAGAACCAATTATGAATGGCACCGCACTTATGTCTTAATAATTTAATTTTGAGAAGAATTGTATGGTTAACCGTGTCAAATTCCCTTTGTAAATCTATAAAATACCACAACAAACTAACTCATTGTGTGGCATATGGTTTTGATTTTACTAACTATATCATTCTATAGAAGGGCATGTTGTGCCGAGTGTTTCTCACGGAAACTATATTGCGTAGGAAATAATGTATTGTTCTTTTCTAAGTAAGAGGAAAATCATTTTATACATCAGAGTTTCATAAACGTTATTAATATTTGAAAGAAGAGAGGTAGGCCCGTAGTTTCCTGGACCTTCATCATTGTCATTTCTATATGGCTACAGGTACAATTTTGAGATTTTTAATTTACTGGAGTACCTTCCAATTTCTATAGATCTGTTCATAATTCTAGATAGAGGTGTGGATAAAACAGATTGAGCACTTTTAGGATTCTCGTTGAAAATGAGTACAACCCATAAGCTTTATTGTAAGATAATAGTTCTATCTCATCTTGTATTTCCTCTGGGGTAATTGGACTTAATGAAAAAGTTCCCGACTGGCTGGGGCCTTTTAAACTTCATGAAAACCGCTTAAATGTGCTAGAAATCTCAAATGTGTCTTTAGTTCTCCCAGCATTATTAGGGTTTTTAACTTGAGTTACAAAATGTTTAGTATTTCCTTTTTTATTTAGTAGATTATTAATTTCCTGCCATCTTTTAAAACTTCATATATTGTTTATATTATTAGAAAATAGGTTACTATAATATTGCTTCTTATTTATACGAGTTAAAATGGAGATCTTGTTTCTATAGATTTTATATGTTTTTATGTTACCTGAAGATAAAAGCTTATTTTTCACCTTCATCGATTTGAGTAAGCCCTTTCTTATCTAGGGTTTTAAAAGCTGTTTTGTTTTACATTTCGTTATGGATTTTAATGGTGCATATGTTGATTGATTTAAATCTTGTTATGAAAGCTTGAAAATGTTTCAATATCATTACATGTTTCCTCCATAGATATCTTATATGCACTAGATAGTGCATCTAATTATTCTGTAATTAAAAAATTGAAGCCGTGATTGCAGACTCAGGATATTCCCATGAAATAAGAAGATTGGTATGTTTTTAATTTCTTAAGCAGGGAAAATAAACATTAAGTTAATCCTATTCCAAATACATTTTTAAATTAAACTATTCAAATGATGAAAGTTATTGTTGTTTTTTAAGCGTTTATTAGCGAGTGGAAATTAGCAACATGGCCGCCATCTATTCAAATGGGAGTAACCGCTGGAATATTCTGGGCTTCAATTTTACTAAAAGAGATGCTCTATCTAGTGTATATAAGATATCTATGGTTTCTTCGTATAAACTATCAAAATCAATTCCAATGAGACCATTTTTAATTGAGGTCAAGGAATTCACGAATTTGGTTAAATGTTACGTACGTTGCCTGTTGGTCTACATTTAAAAGATGGTATATAATACAAAATTGTAAATAGTGCTGGTTAATATCTAACACTATATTTCCGCTAATTACGAAGATATCATCATTTCTGGAAGATCTTTCACACAGAGCAAACCTGTCTCTTTCACTGTTTCTGCAGCAAATATAAATTGGTTTGTTTTAATGATATCAGAATTCGGGGCATTTCACTCAGTGTAACTAATTCAAGGCATTTTTTAATACCATGGAGTGGTGGGGCATTTGCCCTACTGGCCCCCTTCCTCTGCTCCACCACTGAGGAAAAAATGGCCTATTGCCCCAAAGCTAGGGCCCTGGGACCTGTATTGAGTAAATGAGTTTAACATTGAAAAGACGTTTAAAAAACAAAATTTGTTGGTGAGCATACTTAAACTTATGTTGTGTTTGAATGTTTAGCATGCAATTTATTACATATTTCACCATTAGAACTTTGCTTTGAGAAGCTGAGATTTAAAAAAAAATGTGTTCTTAGAATGCAGGAAATGCTATTTCAGAGACCACATTTTAGAAATTTCCTAGGAGGACATGCCCCAGACCCCGTAACTAACTCGTGCCTGCGGTACTCGGTTCACACCTTCGGCGATCACATACTATTCCGAGGGGAGCGCAAGAAAAATGAGCCCTTTGGCAGTTTTGCCCCACCACTGAAGAATCCCTAAAAAATGCACTGAACTAATTGTTGAAGAAATTTGTGGATGAGTAGAAATCTTGATGGAATTTTTTGTATATTTATTACACCTATCCAGAAGCAGTTCTATCGGCTCTCTGGCAGGAATCGAACCTACACTAGTAGCTATGGCCTTGCGATTTTTGTGCAGCGCACTAGCCAACTGAGCTACAACGAGCCAGTTGTCAAGCTCCAACAAAAGTTTAAGTTTAAATACTACACCGTCACATTATCTATACGTATTCGTACGTAAACTTGTTGTTAAGCCGGTTTTCCACTAGGCGGAATTATGCGCGCGGAGCAGAATTTTTCTTTATCTTCTAATTTCTCGAGTGGAACTAATTAGAAAAGACAAAGAAAATTTCCAATGCGCGCACAGGGGGTCCAACTAAGAGCTGCGTTATGAATATGAATAAAACATTAATTAAACGTAATATGAATAAAACATCATAACGTAATATATTTAAATTATTGCACTTATACTTGTATAAATCATAAGAGCTTGTATTTCCAGTGAATAGCTTCAAACAGGGCGCTTATGACGTGGATGTTACGCAGACTGACCTTGTTACCGCTCGTACAGAACCAGCAACGAAACCTAAACAAGTAAATGAGAAATATAACAGAAGGCATCATACTGGCAGCAAAGAAACGAAGCAAGCTTATCATCACCCTCGTCCTAACGTTGCTATCGTGGGAGACTCGATGCTCAAGCACATAAATCCTACACAGCTAAGGAGAAGTACAAGGAGCTTTAACACTCAAATCAAGACGTTTCCAGGTGCGAAGGTAAGCGATATGGAATATTATGTTAAACCTACTCCGGCCCGTACACCCGACCATTTGATTCTGCATGTCGGTACAAACGACGTGAGACAAAGTACACCACAAGAGATAACAAATGCCATATCCATGCTTGGGCAACAGATCAAGAAGGAACTACCTACAACGAATCTTGCTATTTCCGAAGTAATTACAAGAAATGATGACCCAAGTCTGAATACGAAAATTACAGAACTTAATACTAAGCTATCCCAGGTATGTACCAATAATAAGTGGAAGATCATTACCCACAGAAATATTTCCTCTGAACATTTGAACCCATATGGGCTCCATCTTTCTAAACAAGGAACAGCTAAATTAGCCCAGAACTTTACAAACTATCTAAAAAATCCTAATTGACCATCTACCGATGCTCCACCCCCTCCACAACCTGTTACCAATACAATAAGGCCAGTAAAGCAACCAAACCCTATTCTTCCTAAACTTAAAGGTTTCAAAGTAGCACAACTTAACATCGCTAGCTTGCCTAAACACTATGAAGAACTACTTATTTATATGCGTGATGAACCTTTCGATATATTGACCTTAAATGAAACTAGATTAGACAGTACTTTCCTAGACTGTGAAGTACAGATACCTGGTTATGATATTGTCAGATCTGACCGAAACAGACATGGGGGAGGGGTAGCTATATATATAAGGACTATCATTCCATATATCGTACGTGAAGATTTATTACAAGATACTCTCGAATTGCTTTGTATTGAAGTTAGAAAACCCAAAAGTAAACCAGTGCTTATTTCAACTTGGTATCGACCACCGAGTGCAAAAATTGAATTATTCCAAAAGTTCGAAAACTTCTTGAAGCTGATTGATAATGAAGACAAAGATATTATCATAACCGGGGATCTTAATTGTAATTTTATTGAGCACACTCAAAACCAAGCTACTTCTAAGTTAATTGATATTATTGATATTTTCCAACTACAGCAACACATACAAACCCCTACTAGAACTACTTATAATTCTTCGTCTCTGATTGATTTAATTCTTACACATATCGACGATGATAAAACCTTAGAAGCCGGGGTTGTTGACCTTGGGATTAGTGACCATAGTCTTGTTTATATATGTCGGAAAATTAGCATTCCTAAAGAGCCACCAAAAATTGTATTTACACGACAGTTCAAAAATTACAACTCCCACCAATTTAAAGAAGAGCTAAGCTACTATACTAATCTAGATCCCACATCGAATGATCCAAATGTGCTATGGAATGAATTTAAGAACAACTTTCTTACTATTGCTGAAAAACACGCGCCAGTTAGACAGCGTCGCGTTAAGAGTGAGCATAAACCATGGCTGACGAAAGAAATAAAGCGTTTAATGCATCATAGGGATTATCTTAAAAGACAGAGTGTTCGTTTAACATCGAGTAATTATAACGAGGCCTACAAAAGATGCAAGAATAAATTAAATAAGCTTATTAAAAAGACTAAGGAAGAATACTTTAAAACGAAGTTATCTAATGCAAATAATAGCAAAGAGAGTTGGCAGGCTATTAATGAGCTATTAAACAAAAAGCCCAAAACTACCCATGTAACACAGCTAAATGTAGATGACCAAGTTATAACTGGAGACACAAATATTGCGGACTGTTTTAATCAGTATTTTTCATCCATCGGTTGTAAACTGTCGAAAAATGTCCAAAATATTAATGTTGACCCTATGACATTTGTCACTCCTACGGAGAGTTCGTTTCATTTTTCATGTATTTCAGTCCAAGAGACTTTTGACGCCTTAAACCAACTTAATTCAAGAAAATCACCAGGACTGGACGGCATAAGTGTAAAACTATTAAAAGATACAAGCGATGTTATCGCGCAACCATTAGCCAACATCTTTAATCTATCTCTTCAGACTGCAATTTTTCCGGACGAGTGGAAAATCGCCAAGGTATCACCAGTCTTTAAAGAAGGGAATAAAACTGATTGCGGAAAGTATAGACCAATCTCTGTAATTTCTGTGGTTGCTAAGCTGTTTGAAGGGCTAGTGTACAATCAATTGAGAACGTTTATTGCCGACAATAGCATTCTTGTAGAGCAACAGTCCGGTTTTCGTTCACAACACTCTACTGAGACGGCACTCTTAGGTTCGACAAATGAGTGGTTATATAACATGGACAGTGGCTTAATCAATGGAGTCCTGTTCTTGGACTTGAAAAAAGCTTTTGACACTGTCGACCATGAAATCTTATTAAAGAAACTTCACCTATACGGCATAAAAGGAACTACTTACGCATGGTTTGAATCTTACATCCAAAATAGGAAATCGATTTGTTTAATGAATGGGAAAAAATCACATGCTAGAGAAATTAGGTGTGGGGTACCACAAGGTTCTAACCTTGGCCCCATCCTATTCCTCTTGTATATTAACGATCTACCTAAGTGTCTAGAAACAACCAAGGCTAACTTGTTTGCTGATGACACAAATCTTTCGTGTGCCGGCTTAGATGCCAATGAAATCGAGACTAAACTTAAAAGAGATCTTGAGAATGTTCATAGTTGGCTTAGATGTAACAAGCTCACGCTAAACGATAGCAAAACGGAATTTATGATAATTGGCTCTAGACATCATCTTACTAAATTTGAAGACAACCCAGAGATTTCATTAGCCATACGAGATAATAATATTAAACGGGTCACCAATAAAAAATCTCTTGGTTTTATCATCGACGATCAATTAAAGTGGGGTATACACATTGACGCACAATGTAAAAAAATCTCAAAAAATATTGCATTACTAAGAAGAGCCAAGTCCTTTGTTCCTTTACACATTCTAATCAAAATGTATAATGCTCTAGTATCTCCTCACCTGACATATTGCTCAACAATATGGAATGATGGATCTAATACCATTCTTAACAAACTCTCTAAGTTACAAAGAAGAGCAGCTCGGGTTATCACAGGACAATCATACGATGTTCGTTCCACTCAAATACTAGAAAGTCTCAATTGGATGCCAATTGAAGACATTTTAAAGAAAAGAGAAATCATTATGACGTTTAAAGCTTTAACTAACAGACTACCTGATTATGTGCAGAATTTCTTCACGAGATGCGAAAATAGTAATTATTCTCTAAGAAGCAATAATGTTAAACTATCTTTGCCTAAACCAAGAACCAACTTTCTTAAAAGAAGTTTCTCTTATAGAGCAGCACAAGGGTGGAACGAATTATCGGATGAAGTAACTAATAACATTCAGGATTTATCTTTACCCAATTTCAAAGGGCGTTTAGCCCTTAAACTTGCACATGAATAATGTATAATGCATTTCCGAAATTAATGGAGTGTGTAATAATTATGTGCTGTAATTAACTGTAAATATCCATAGTTAATGTGTGTTTAATACTATATAGCACGGCCCTTTGAAAAACAGACTGTATATATTATACTGAATAGGCTACCGTGTTAAAAGAAATTTTATTAAAGATTAAAGATTAAAGAATGTAGAACAAAAAATATTTGCAAAGGAGTCTTCTGCATGAAAAGTGAAAAAGTGAAAATTCAGCACCACACAGCACAATCACACGACAAATTAAAAAGGTTCAACGCTAAGAAATGCATGATCATGTTTCATTTGAAATCTTTCGCGTGCAGTAAATTTCACACAAATAAGCAAAGTTTGACCAAATCTAAATAATTTTTAAATATTAGAGTGGAAACACAGGTCACACGGAGAAATTTTTCGTGCAATTTGTTCAATAGAAAGGTAAGGTTTGGTAGCAAAAAGCAAGTATTTAATCGTTATTAAATTAAGCAAGTATTTTAATCGTTATTAATTAAGTACTCTGTATTTTCTGCTTGTTCTTCGGACACTACGTTTAAAGTTCGATAAAGATAACCATTTCAATTATGACACCGATATCACTGTTTCACAATGTTATAAAGATCATTTCTTTATTGTCCAATGTGTATCACTTCCTAAATTGAATCGGATCAAATGTAACAAGTACTTAGCCGCGCGACTAAGTCGATATCCGAATTTGGTTTCAACATTTCAACTAACAAGCTTGGTGCTCAGCGGGGACATTTCACCAAATCCTGGTCCTGATCACCACACTAAAACCACCAACGGTTTAAAGGCATTATATTTGAAAGCAAGAAGTCTAAAATCTTTTGCATCACTTGATGGTGGCTCTACTAAACACGGTGGGAAAAAAAGACAGCAAATTGGGCCAAGTTTTTATAACTTTCTGAAATTAGTTTGGAATATCACGAAACTTTCTCACAAGATAGAACTTGCCAATCCTAGAAATCGAATCGTTTTTGTTTTTCGATTTTGTTACATTTTGGCGGGAAAATGACGTGCCAACTTTGGCGCCAAAAAATTAAACACGAGCTAAGAACATGGTAGTAACTTTTTTGATGAGATTGTCCTACGAGGATCTCAAAACTGTAAAGACGTTCAAAATACGCCAAAGCAGTGCAAAGATATGGTGCTTAAAAGTCTGAAAAATCCGCCATTTTGTTACTAAAAATAGATTTTTTCGAACTTTGAATCGCCATATCTTCGCACTGCCTTGTTGTATTTTCAATGTTTTTACAGTTTTGAGAACCTTATAGGACATTCTCATCAAAAAAGTTACTGGCATGTTCTTAGCTCGGGTTTAATTTTTTGGCGCCAAAGTTGTCACGTCATTTTCCCGCCAAAATGTAACAAAATCGGAAAACAAAAATTATACGATTTTTAGGAATGGCATGTTCTATCCTGTGAGGAAGTTTCGTGATATTCCAAACTAAAGTCAGAAAGTTATAAAAACTTGGCCCAATTTGCTGTCTTTTTTCCCACCGTGCATTACAATTCGCCCCCCGTTTAAGTGTGTAATTGAGCCTGCTTTTCAACTAATCAGCAACATAGTAGGACGCATGCGCACTTTGACGGCTCCGAATTTCGGCAGACTTCGGTATACTGTCGGGAAAATAATCGGAATGCAACGGGTATCTCCCAGTTTGTTTGTCTCTTGGATGAACACGTTGTGTTCGCTTGTATTGAGAAATTTTGTGTCAGTTCTATCATGGCAAGAAATCACGGACAGGATTATTCTACTTCCTTACTAACTTTGCAAATCATTAATACATAACCCGTTGAAATATGGCTTCGATAGTAAACAGTAAATTATGTTACGAGATGCTTTAAATCGCAAAATCAAAGAATATTGGTAGTCGTTTGCAATTTGCCTCGACTGCTGGCCGCAGAACACGGTCTGTTGAAATATATCGTGTAGTGTTTGCCTGGTGTAAGTTACTGCCTATTCTGCATTTTCGTTTGTTTCTAGCGGCTATAGTGCGGTATTATTATATAGAGTTAAATAGATAAATTCCGTACAAAGTATATAGCTTGTGTACAAATACTGAAAATGGAAAATGCTCACTAATTAAAGTCAAGTCAACATTACGCTAAATAGTTCGACCGAATTTGATTTACCGGCAGCCAGCGACTGAGGCAAGTTGCAAACGACCTACCATATTCTCTGCTTTTGGGATTTACAGCATCGCGTAATATAATTTGCTGTTTACTGCAGAAGCCATATTACGAAGGACGTATAATAAATCATGACCGTGATTTCTGGCCATGATATATTTAAATGGAATTTTCTGATCGAATTTTTAGAATCGAGCGAAACCTGTCGATTTAATAATTACTGAATAGCTAAAATATTTAACATCACGATGGCATCGATCAGTAGCGACATAAAACAAAGTTAAATACATTCAAAAATGCTTTTCCGGCTTATTATAGAAACAATATAACTTGCATATCTTATATTACTGCCTCATTCGGTGGTAGCCTAATATAGACGTAAAATAGCACTGGAAATGACGTTAAACTTTATCTTCCGAGTACAAAAATCAACAAACTAAACACGGATTTCCGAAGTTTGAAATTTGCTTCGGAGTGCAATCGGAATAAATTAGAGCAAAGGTAACGTAACGACCTATGGGATATATACCCCTGGTGCAAGGGGTAAAATTCCCGGCTTGCACTAGGCGCAGCATTACACATTCAGACCGGGCTACTTTTGTCATGGAAAGTATGTAAGATCACGCTACTTCAACATCTAGCTTTTAGTGGCTCCTATGATATCATATTGGCATATGCGAGACATGGCTAAATGGCTGTATATTGATCAGCGAAATATTATCTGGCTACAACATCTTTCGCCGAGACAGAATTGACCGTGTTGGAGGTGGCATCTTAGTTGTAATAAAGGCTGATATTAAATCAACTCGACGTTCAGATCTTGAAAGGAAAAGTGTTGAACTTGTTGGAGTTGAACTTAGTAGACCGGACAGTCGATCATTTTTACTTTACACGTTTTACCATCCTCCCGATTCATTGCCTGAAGTTCTTCAGCACCTTAACTTATCGTTGCAAAGTATTTAAGAATCTGACTGTTGTGTTGTTGTTGGTGATTTTATTTTGCCCATGCTGGACTGGCCGAATGATCAAGCTGCGCCTGTTAATATCCGGGAAACGCAAGTGGTAATGTCCTTTGTGAATTGTTTTGAGACCATTTTTTACATCAATTCACAGAAGGCAAGACACACGAAGCAGGTGATAAACTAGATTTACCGTTATGTAATTGTCCTGAGACTATTGAGAAAGTAACCACAACACCAGCTGACGAATGCAGTTTTCCATCATATCATTATATCATAAATTTTATAATCAGATTTAAGTTTGAACGCACTAAGCCTGTTAAACGCCAAGTCGTCAATTATTACCAGGCAGATTTCGAAAGCTTGCGCCACTCCTTGTCCCGCATATGGTGAATACCTAACCAAGATCGAGAAATCCTTAAATTCTAATCTCAAAACTTTCTGGAGTTATCATAAGGCTATGTTACATCAAAGAACAAACCATATTTCTGCGATCATTCACAAGGGTGTTACAGCAACTAATTCAATTGAAAAGGCAGAACTACTCAATGCCTATTTTACCTCTGTGTGTTCCAAACCAACTGCGAACCCGGATTATGCGAATTTTCCGAATTATCAGGAGTTTTGCGCAGAACTTGCTGAATTCCAATTGACTGCGGACGAGGTCCTTGCTTATCTGAACTCTTTGGATACGTCTAAAGCATGTGGCGCTGATGGGATACCAGCGCGTTTACTTAAAGAGTACAGTTTCCAGATAGCACCCAGTTTGTGCGGTTTGTTTAACTATTCGTAACGTTACATATAGGACGTCTTCCATCAGAGAGGAGAGCAGCTGAAAATTATAGACCCACATCTCTTCTTCCAATTATAGCCAAAGTCTTGGAACGTTGTATGAGTAAAAGGCTATATGGTCACGTAATAAATGCTATTTCTCCGCATCAACATGGATTTGTAAGGAATCGTTCGTGCGCAGGGGCGGATCTAGGGGTCGTCAAGTCAGTCGCGCGACTGAAGTAAAAATTGCCTACTTAATTAAAAAAATTCGACTCCAGCTATCTATAGCGGCCAGTAGATCGAGTTATTAAAATTTTGAATCGTAGTCCAGTTATACGTTTCATGCTGCGGTAGAGTTTCGGCAAAGTAATGTTAGTCAGTCACGAACAGCGGTCTTACGCATGAATGTTGACGGATTCGGGGGTTGAATCGGGCTATCTGATTGGCTGACGCGCTCATTTCCATGGTTACAGCCATTTGCGACGGATCTGTGGGGAGGCCTGACGGATTTGCTGATTCAGGGGCTCTGTATGAGTCTTCTGATTGAACCATTTAAAAATATTCTGCACTGTCATTGGCTTATATTTTCGACGGATTCGCAGCGTGGGGTATTCGTCAACACGGCATTTGGTGTTTTATACCTCCTGAATGTTTACTATTTCGAACGTCTGGCATGTGAGAAATTTTACTATTATATCTTTACGAGCGATCTCTGCCAGCGATATCTGGAAACATTTTCGACAATATTCAGTTTGCGATTGCGGCAAACGATTTAGAATATCTACAACGTTTGTATACGGAGCTTGAGAAGAATATCGATGCTTCACGGACAAATTCTGTTGACGAGCTACTGAACGGCAAAGTGAGCGCCATCAACAACACAAGCAGAAGCCTCGCTAGAAATTTTGGCGCAGAGAGCTACATTCCGAAGTATGTTCGAGATAAGAAAGACAAAGCTTGCACTGCAATAAGCTAGAGAAATTTATGGTTTTATAATGATGTATCTTTAGTAAATATTAATTAAACCGAAGAACCAAAGCCGTCGGTGTTGTTAATGATTGTTTGACATATGATATTTTAATATTCGCTATGCTGTATTAGCATAATTCTCGCGTCAAGAAGCTAAAATATGTTTTATTCAATGTCCACATTGTAAGCATTTGTCGATTCTCGTGTTTATAGTGAAGTTTTATTTAAGATTTATTTATATTTATGCATCGATCACACAACATGTCGGCCTTATAGAATACTGTTTGTCCATAGCCTATTGACACGGCTTGTTAGACCGCATTGGTCTGGTGTAACATGATGATGTGAAATACTTAATAAGCTAGCTTGAAAAGCTCATTGACTGGTAGCCATTCTCATGTAACTAGTTTATTAATATTTGACATAACATCTTCTGCCTCCTCCGCAGGCCCTTACTATTTGTAGATCAGTGTATAATGTATATATAGACATATCAGTTTAATATATAGATCAGTGGCTGAACAAATCTGTTGTGATGCATGCTGGGAAGACGAAAAATTTTAATTAATTATTTGATAGCAAGCGACTGGGGACGAGGCAGTAACATCTTTATATCTTGTTAATGTAATAGTATTTGACTTAGTTAATGAATATCTGGTTGTTTTTTTGGATCTGAGGCTACTAGCAATTATTTGTATAGTTCTGTGTGTTTGGTAACAGAACAGTATATTTCCTTAATGCATTTGCTGCCATATGATTTTACAAGTTTTACAATGATACACTTATAGGTATATAGTATCAATATGACGACGATTGATTAATCCACAGGCAAACATGTTATTAAATTGCTGCTGAGTTTTAATGTACTGTATCATAGTAATATATCCATAAAATTTTGTATTGGAATAGGATCAATATATCTTTGTGCATTTGTAGTTTTTCTTACAATGGATAAGAATCAAATGTTCGTTTGAGTTTATCAATTTAAATTTAATCTAAATACGTTTTTCACGCCCAGTCGAGACCACGCCCAGCGCCGACAACGCCCCGTCCGCCAAAAAATTTTGACTGAGGTACGAAAAATCCTAGATCCGCCCCTGCATATAAATCAAATAATTTATCGAATGACAAGCAGTGGGGTTATAAAAGAGGAAGATCGACCGAGTTGTTATTGTTAAATCCAACAGAACATTGGAAGATGGCACTTGATAGTGGAAAAACAGTTGGCATTTTATTTATAGCCTTTAAAAAAGCGTTTGACAGTGTCAACCATACCATTTTAATGGGCAAGATACAAGGAAAGGGTATAGCAGGAGAAGTATACGAATGGTTAAAAGATTACTTGACTGATAGGCAACAATTCACAGATCTAAATGGTGCTTACTCAAGCTCACAAACTGTAAAATATGGGGTACCACAAGGATCGCTATTAGGACCGCGACTATTCAAGATATACGTTGATGATTTTCCTGATAATGTAAGTGAACGATGGGTGTATATGTTTGCCGACGATACTACTGGATATGACATTGGAGATAATATTGATGTAGCGACAGATAAATTAAATCAAATGACTGGGGAAATATACGAATGGTGTAGGGAAAATAAGATAACTGCACATATAGGCAAAACAGAAGCAATGATACTGTCACAACAGCCCTTTTATGGTCCAGTAAAACTGATATACTTTGGAGATGAACAGATAAAACTTGTAACAACAACACAGTCACTGGGGGTAACAATTGATAATAGACTGACGTGGAAGGAGCAACATAAAAAGGTAATAAAATCATTCAGCGCAAAACTATCCCAATTAAAAAGAATGAAGTATCTACCGAGATATGTACTGGAGGAAATTTATCACAAAGCAATCATACCAAACGTGACATACGCATACTAGTTTGGGGAACATGTTCACCTTCGTTAATGGATGATTTAGAGAACCATCACGTAAGAGCGGTAAAGATGATATATAACATTCGGCAAGATAATTTAACGAATGAACAAATACTAGAACAAGTAGATTGGAAACCTATAGGTGATATATATAAAAAGCGTATCTTGACTTTAATGCATGATGTATATTATATGAATGTTCCACAGGATTTGCATAACCTATTCACACGGACTGCGAGAGTAGGAAGACGAAAACAGAATTTTAATGTGGTTAGGTGTAAAACCGAAAAAGGAAGGATATCTTTACGGTACAGAGGTCCTATAGCATGGAACCAACTTGATAATGACACGAAGGCGATAGTTAATAAAATCGCATTTAAAACTAAAATTAGGAATAGTCCAAACTTAGTTAGTATAAATTTTCTTAAAGAAGCAGCTGTAAATAACAACAAGAATACTAAAGACTTCAAATATTTCTAAATAGGTATGATTTTGTAAATTTTATATTAGTTTAGTTTAGTTTCGCAGGCCCACATCAGCTTTTAGTTGACATATGTAATTAACCTGCATTATCAAATAAAGTATGAATGAATGAATGAATGAAAAAATAAGCACTGCTGCTTGTTGCAAATGAAATATTAAATCATGTATGACGTCACGTTGGTTGCATTGCTTTGTTAAATAAGATCATTACCCTTACCCTCACCACTAACATTTTGTGTCGCATTTAAGGTTGCTTGACGCAGTTTAAAAATGAAATATTTAGGATTTATAGACGAACAAAAGTTACACACTATGGCGGATATTTTGGCTTTAAAGTAATTTAACTCGAAAACGACATTGGTGACCTCCAAATTATATTTCATAAAATGGTTTCTCTCAGGGTTGGTAAGTTAGATGAATAATTAGGTCAAATCGTCATTAGTGCCGTTTAGAAACAAAGAAAACAAAAGGCCAAGACAAAGAAAACAAAGGCCTAGTGTGACGGTGTTTGGCGTATAATTATTCAGCAAACCTACCAACCCTGGTTTCTCTTACTACATTTAATTAGTTTGACAATTTTAAAAAAATCTGATGAACCTGATGATTTAAAAAAATCTGATGATTAACATGATAAGAGAAATCATTTTGTGAAATAAAATTTGGAGTTAATACACCGGTGCCACAGGTATACCCCCCCCCCCCTCACACACACAATTTCGCGAAATTCCTATAGGAGATTCGCCCTCCCGGGGGGGGGGGGGGAAATTCCTAGGAGATTCGCCCCCCTTTAGAAGATTCGCCCCCCTTTAGGAGATTCGCCCCCCCC